GGGGGGACACAACCGGCATGAGGACCGGGGGGGGGGTCTTTATAGTAAGTACACAAACAATATGTATAAAACTACTAATGTCAAGAATGAAGAACTTTCAAGTACACAGGTGGCAGGAACGGCCAATCACACTTTAGCTAGTATCAGCAGAGCCAATAGATGATCTCATGGACGGTTCTAATGGGAAACAGGCTTCAGTACAAGCGATTGTTTGCCGCTTGGTTTTAGTGCTCCACCGGTGTCTTTTTAACATAGCGTAATATTGTTTTTGGATGGTGAAAAGTGCAGGGGACAAAAACTGACTTTGGAAAAAATGGTGGGGGACATGTCCCCCCATGTTCCCCCCAAACTACATCCATGGTTGGTTTAGACCTTCACCGTTCAGAAACTGAACAACAAACACTATTACTACAACAACAACATAACGCACATAATAAATCAAACTTTTTTTTTTTTTTCAAAAATGTACGCGGCTTATAAAAAGATTCTTTTACCTGAAAAACTGGCATACCGGCTTCAGCATGGGACATTGTGGACTGACTGCTGAAAACTCGCTTCCATGAGCTTGTGGTACTGATATATGGGTACTTTGGGGCTAATCACGATATCTAGGGAAGGCTGGCAGCATATTTTCCAACAGAACGTGCGTCGTCTCCTCTTTTAATAAGAGGCTCCAGACAGAAGGCTACTATTTCAGCTACGGTTTGCTCCACTGCTGTGCCGACGAGGCGTGCATCTGTCGGGTCATCTTTTGTTTACACAAATTACCTCATCAGTGTTTACCGGCTCTCTTTTAAGTTTTCTTCAAACCAGAACTACTCCCAAAATGCAAACGTTGTGTTATTTTTAGACACTAATCAGCTGGTGTGCGAACTACCATTTTCTCGGAGTGCCATCTCCACGCTGTGACATGATGATGTCACGTTCATAATGTTTATGGAACATCTCTGAAATTTGGACAGAACATTTTAAACTAGTTAAGCAAAATGGAAAGTTTAACCCCATCTCTGTGTTATACCTTAAAGGACCTTATCCTTGTGTCCTACGTGCACAGTTTTTGTCATTACGATATTGGTACTGACACCAGTGCTAATTTTTAACACCGGCTGTCTATGGTAATACCGCCCAAGCCAGGTAGCTACAGTTTAAAATCTGTGAGCCCGTACTCATTGATACTTCTCCATCTGTGTCGATGTGGAGAACTGCAACACCATTATGTGTCGACACAAGGGCTCTCCGAAGGTGCCCAAATTTTTAAATATCCGATGACAGAAGACTGCAAGCTTGTGATTAGTCAGGACGCCGCTTTCTGTAAATGTGTCAACAGCACCGCCTTTGCCACTTCAAAAAGTAAAAAGATATTTTGCGGCAGACACGAAACAGACTGAAGAATGCATCATGCAATGTTTATTCACCCGTGTCTCAAGGAGTACAAAAATGCAGAGCAAATATATTTTCTTCTGGACGGAAATGATGAGAAACATGAGTTTAGAGCATGGTTTAGAGGTGGAGGAGAATGAAGGACACATTTTTTGGTGAAATATATATAAACACATTAGTAGATACACTATCGTGGACCGGATACATGACTGTAACAGTGGCATGATACCATAGAAAAATGCTACGCCCTCTGTTGTTCTGGCAGGAAATTGCGTTGCAGCACTCCCCAACGGACGCACAAATGTCTATGTCAATGTGTGTACGTCTCTTCCTTGTGGAGCTAATGGAGAAGTATAAATCAGAGTTAACGCCACAGCATTGGCAATTTGCTATTCTACACCAGCCGACAATACGCAGCACAGTTTAGTGAAGAACTGAAGCCAGTAAACAGGAGCGACCCAGAAGTTATTCCTTTTACCATTAAGAAGCCACTGCATCTTTTTGTTTCACTCTAATATTGGGCAAGCAGGCTAGAGGCTGACGTTGAGCTAATAATGCTAACGGTGAATTAGAAACAAATAGTAAGCTCTAAAATACCTCAAGATACTTTAATTACCAACCGCTGAGTAATACAGTGAAATGTATTTATCTACTTATCAGCTCGCTGTGTGTGACATGTTTCACTCAACTAGAATCTTCTTGTGCTCCAAAACTGGAAACAGCCATGATGAAACTCACGGTGAGGAATTCTCATCTGTTTTGAAAATGGGCTGCAGGACCCAAATTACACCACCGCATGTCTTTCTTACATTATTCTTACATCATGCACCTTTATTCTAGCCTAGAAATCCAGATAGGCAGTAGCTGAAGTCGGTCT